GCAAAATCTTAGAACGCGTATATGAGTGGCGACTAGGGCAAGCATGAGTACGACTACTCTGTGTGAGGACCGTCTGATGATCCTGAACGATCTGAACAGAAATTAGAAAGGCCGTGACGGAGCACCCAAAAAAGACTTCGAACTTTGACAGCAGTTTTGGAAAACAGATTTCCAAAAGGTATGATAGGAAGGCCTGAAAGCGTGTTGTAAGAAAGCTGTAACTAGCTAGGTCAACGGATTTCGGATCACTGTTTGATAGTCAGTCGCTCAGTTACTGCATTTGACACAACTGGTTTGTGCGCGTTTAAAATCGATTGACACAAATTAAATTCCTTGAAAGTAAGCCGTTACAGTTCACGACCACACGTTTTCAACGACGTCGCATGGCGAGCCAGTGGCGTTTGCAACGGCCGGTGACTGCTACAGTGCCGTGGACTGCCCGCAGGTACTGTTTTTCGTAAGCAGTAGCTTACTTCTTCAAATAAGTCTTCTGGCCAGTCATTTTTGCGTCTTTCTACAGGGTCGATTTGGTATTGATTTACGAGGAACGGGTCTCCGAGTGGTGGATGACCTTCGCTGGGTTGATCAAGGACACCGGACCAGTTCGAGGATTGAACGCTCTGATGTATGCTTCATTGTTACAGTTTTAAAAAGTGCGCTAAACTCGGGGTCTCTGGAAATTCTGGGCAAATGGAATGTCTTGATATAATTGTCGTTTATTGCCTGACGGATGTCATATATGCAGAATAATGCACGAATATTTGGGCGTTGCGGCGGATATTGTGGTCAGTGCAGTCCGGATAAGTTCAAAGGATTGGTTATCGAAATTGACCATAAACAGAATCCGAGCATTGGCGTTGGATGAAAGCATTATCCACAACAGAATGGGACGACTGGAACGAATCAGTTGGAAAGATCAAATACCGGTAATTAGTGCAGACGACGGTGCACATGTGGTTGATAAGTGTCGTATATGCAGAATAATGCACAAATCAGCGAGCCAGGGAGCAGTCGCTTGAACTACACGATGATCCTCAGCAATATCCATGCTTTAAAACTTTTGACTTTGCTTATTGAGCTAACTGCTGCTCTGTGTTATCGCCATTGTTATGTGAGTGCTCGCAATGAACTCGGCCGCCATCGCCGCGATCATTTCGCCGAACGACGAACGACGCCCTTGCCGTCCTCTTTGTGTAGCACTCACAAAATTTAGGCATGTATTTCATGTATTTTCTTTTTTTTTTTATTGTTAAACATCTGCACAAATTGTGTCATTGATAGAAGATTTTCTTCTCCTGAAATGAAGGATTTATAATAATCTGTCAAGTATCGTTATGTATTGCTGACCCAGGAGCACATGCCGCTGGGT